TCTAACACTCTTGTACCGTTAGCCATTTATAATAAATTAAACCTTTAGCTGTAAAATGTCACGTCTGTAAAACGAACTTTTCAGAAGAGAGATCTAGAGACACTATCTACAGATGAAATTAGTCGAAAACTTTTTTATGCTTATGAAGTGTTTCAAAATAAAAAGCTGCATCCCAAATTACAACGTCTTAGCTCAACGTAGCGCTGTAATTAGACCGTGAGTCTGGTTCACGTGTTATGTTTTCATGAGATTAACTATATAGCTCTTTGTAAATTAACCTTTTAGCAAGGAATAAAGCCGTGAATGTCGTAAGGGTTAACTCCAAGTCAACAGGACAAAGGAATGCTACTTGAAGTTGAAGTACTTGAAGTGCCACAATTTAAGGCCGGAGTTCCTTCCTGTAATGGATGGCGCGAGAGTGCGTTTAAGCTGAATACTTTTGCAGGACCGTATTCAGAGAGATCGTAGTTTATGATTAGTGATCGAGTAATCGGATGCTTATTTAACGACAATTCGACTGCTAGTGAACATAAATAACATTTTCATAATGCACAGTTAGGGCGCGTTTCCATTATGTCGTGACGACAGATAGTTGTGCAGTTTTTGTTCATGAGTTATTTATTGTTCATGATATGGTTTTGGTTGCTTTTGTTGTTTACTTTAAAGTATTTTGATATTTTTGGCTGTGTAAAAATCTTGATAATTAAGTTACATATTTGATTTACCCTCACATATTTTATCTTTTTTCTTTATATAAGTTTTAGATAATTATTACTATCATATTTTTGTAAATTCGCTTCATAATTCTAAATTATTTAAGCCAGTAATGATTCGGACGAAAGACCTAGCTACCCATAGTACAGGGGATCCTAGTTTGGGAGCTAGGCACAACTATGTACTAGATTTGTATCTTTTGGCAATAAAGTTTTTATTTTTTATTATTATTCAGTTTAAAGTGTCGTGGCTTGTATATTTAAATGAAGTTGTACAACACCATTAACTGTCGTTCACGATTTGGGAAGAGGTAGAACGACAGTCGTCTGACGATAAATACAACGTTACGATTAAAAATGCGACGACATTCTGTTGTGCAAACGACAAGACAGCTGCCGTGAACCGATAAATTGTCGTTACCATATTACCAGCTAGACGCAGCTAATCGTTAACGATTACTCAACCGACAAGAGATCTTAAACAAAAAGACGAAAGAAGTAAATCTCTAGCAAGGGCCTCAACGGACTATTGAATGCGTCTCTGTGTCAAGAACAATAATGCTTTTATGGGAACTGAGCTGAGAATTAGGGGATATCTTTTGTGAAGACCTTGAAATCCTTGGTTTCCGGATTAATAGAGATGATGGTGACTAATGGCCTGTACTAATGACCGAAGTGTGGTTAGTTAGTAATACAGCTCCTGCGTACTTGGATGACAAAATCTGTGGTAGTAACTTGTTCAGCTCTTCTAGATAGTCTTGATCCATGATTTTTGATATTGAAATATTGTAGATAGTGTATGATAGATGTGTATTAAGTTTATTTATAAAGAGCAACCCCTAGAGTTTCTTGCTCATTCTTCTAAGGAAAACGAAAATGAAAATGGAAATAGCTTTTTATTTTCTTTCACAAAAACTCAAATAAGAGTTTACGATTAGATCTTCCTATCATCTGTACCTGTATCAGAAAGACCCGCTCTTGCAATGTTCTTTAGTTTACAGAAATAAACCTTAATTGGTTTCTATAATGTATTAAAAATTATTACAAGTTGAAGAATTTGTATAGAGTTACATAGTTTTTCATGAGGTAATAATAATACTAATATATCTAACATCACCCATTAGGGTGTTCCCAAGATAATAATAATAATAATATGGGTACCTTAAGGGTGGGAAATTTTCTCCGTTTCGTCATAGTTAATTGATACCAACCAATTTCTTAAAGCTTTTTTACAACTATGCCATTGTAGATGTTAAATACTTATTTTTTATTGTTTATAGTACCTATTATACTTACGTGCCGAATTCTCCGCAAATTACCTATCAAAAAACAATGATTTGGGATTTGGCTGAGGAGCAACGATGTAATTCCGTCTACGGGACATAGATGAAGGGTTATAAGCAGTGGATTTATGTAGCTTTAGTACAGTGAACAGGATGTATAATTTTTTCATTGTAAGGTGACCACTAAATTGATAGAGTTCGTCGGTGGGGAATCTGAAAGGTTTTGAGTACATTACCTTAAGAATACATCGTTGCCCCCTTTCCACTTCCAAGAATTTAGTTTTACAAGCACCACCCCACACAACAATGCTATAACTAATTATGGATTGAACTAAGACTATATACAACTGATCAAGTAAGGTTTTGACAGCAATGTGTCTAATGTCCACTTGCACTAAACTTAGGTACGTCTTAAACCAATAATTGCAATGCAAAAGACACTCTTAATACATTGTGTTAATTAAGAGTGTCTTATCAATTTAAGCATTGGTTTAAGACATAGTTAAGTTTAGTGCAAGTGGACATAAGTGTTTTAAATAGCCAAATGAGCTTTCGTATTCTACTATTTACATAGTCAATATGTGTGGACTGTAGTCTAGGCTCTACTCTATGAGTAGAACTACTGGCTGAGTGAATACAGTTTTGTGTTTAGAATGTGTTTAAAAAAATAGGATAGAAAAAGAACATCTTGGCACATCTAGAAGTAGCCTCAAGAAGTAAATATGTGAAAAATATAATAAACATCTAATTTTGAAGTTAATACCAGTTTATATTTAAAAAGTACCTCTCGCTACGCAACCTGAGCTACCCCCTGTACCATGTAAGTGCAGTACCATGAAAGACGCTGATCTAACATGATGCCAAGATGGAGAATCTACCTTACGAATAAGCAGTAGAGTCTAATAAATGTGACGATTTCAATATTTTTTTATAGTCTCAAGTGAACGGACGAACAGATCGTGCGCCTGATGGAAAGCTACACGCCTGTTCATAACAGTGGCAGTGTCACTCAGAGCTTTAAATCGCAAAGATCTGAGAGGTACTGCCCTTGCGACTGTCACCCTGAGACATAACTTGACTTGTCTCATGTGTCTGTAATTTCACCAGCACTCTTAGCCTTCAAAAGCAGAACGTAGTAACGTGAGCATGCTTGGCAGCAGGAACAGGTAAGGCGGCAGTACTTCCTTGGAGAAGCTCTTTCATAAGAAGCTCTACTGCTGATAAAATTATAACACAGCGTCACTCTCTCTCTCTCTCTCATCTGAGCGTTGTCCCGGTTGCGTCCTCAGCAGTGTTGCTGCGGAGCCCGGGGTCCGCTTTTCTACTTTTTCTCCTCCACTTTGCACGGTCTTCGGCATCCTTAGTGGTGAGACCATTGGCACACATATCACCCTTGGCGACATCAAGCCAGCACTTCTTGGGTCTGCCCCTTCTACCGGGGCCCGGCGGAGGTGGCATAGCGAGACGTTTGTTTCCCACAGCGTCACCTATATCAATAAAGTTGTATCCTTTTTGTCGAAAGTTAATATGTTTCGAACTCAAGTGATTTCGAAACTATACTATATTATAATTTAATGGAAAATTGACAAGCCCCAATCCTCGATATTTGTTTCCAGTTTCCAGTTCATATCTACTTAATGTCACTAAGTTTGATTAGTTAATACAGAAAACAGGTTCAAACTTTGTATACATGGAGTACGATTGCAGGACTGTTCAGTAGCCAAGGTTTTCTTAATATAGACAAACCACATCTTGGTTTAATAAAGCCTTATGTCATACCATACGTCAAAACTTCTTTTATCACACAAAAGTCATAAAAACAATACGATCTACATGAAACAAATTATGTACATTTGAATTTTAATAAGTCTCTTCTCTAACGTTGCGATTATTAATACAAAAATAGAACACAGAAAAATTTCTTTGACCCGGTGGGACTTGAAACCACGACCATGATGCACCGTAGCATTGCTCTTACCAACTGAGACAAAGGTCAAGTTACCGAGTTGTCGATAATATTATCCTGTCTCTTTGTTATAGATTTTTGTACCGACTTTCGGCATTCGTCGCCACTAGTGACATCTGGTGAGGTATTTTTGAAAAACCTCACCGAGGCCGATACCTTTACAGGTGCCACAACTGACGCAGATGTTGTTTTGCGATCAAATGTATTAAGCATAAAAGTTATAACGACTAATTTCGTTCGTACAATCTTTAAACCTCTCACCCGAAAAGCTGTAATGTTGCAGATGTGGCATTACGCTACGTTTCCACCGGAGATGTGCGAGGTAGCTAGGCGGAGTGCGAGATTAAAATCCACCAATAGGATTACTTCATTATCCTAGCCTCGGTTAGCGCAGCCCTTATGGAAAAGGACTTGCGGAGCTCAGTACATACAATAATCTCAGTACAGAGTATGGAAATGAGTGGAATTACATCTATTTGCCAAGTTTTATTGAAATCGGTTACGGAAAAGTTCGCGAAACCGGATTCATCCCTTAGTTTGCTACCCTTAGAGGTGGAATATTTTCTTCAAATTTAAATGAGATCAGTACTGAGGTACCCCCTTTTCAACAAACAAAGAATCATCATAATCGGTTCACAAATGCCGGAATTATTGCATAACATAATACATACAAAAATACTCCTTTTGAAGTCGGTTAAAAAACGAGAGATGTTTGCAAGGAATGTGTGCAAGGTACCTCACCCACCTCATCAGACCGCATCCGCACAGCTTAAAAGAGTCCGCTACTCATCCTCGCCCCACTCAACTACACACCGTTTCACAGATTCGCTACACGTCGCACCTATCTACCTCGCACATCTCTCGTGGAACCGCAGCCTTATTATACCACATCCGCACATCTAACGTCACAACATTTTACGTAATACGCAAAATTATGCACAGTTATGCGTTGTTGTGAATTATGTTATACTTAAAGACGTATTTCTATGTATAGACGTACGACTTTTTATTATTGAGGTTTAATATATATTGTCTTACCTTAGGCGGAATAATAAGATAAGTTTCCACTTTATGGTCAGCGAGATACCCTTCCCTGGACGCGCCATCTCCTGTCTCCACCTCAAACCGACCACCAAGCTGGAGTAACGTCGGTTTAGTGATGTGTACTCGCCTGGAATTATATAAAATAAACGTTACATATATAATAAACGAAACAGTTACGCTTTTGTGGAATATTTGTTTCATGCAGATAATTTTCTCGCCCTCCTAAACATAGTTCTTTGTACGAGTGTCGAACAATCAACAACTCCTGAAGAGGCGAAACGCGTGTCGGGTATATTTTTGGTGGTGATGTTTGTGACTGTAGTTGCGCTTGTGTTGTTTATTTTATGCAGAGAAATGGTGGAAAATTTACTGCCAGAAAAAACTATTCAACACTATAAAATCTTTATTTTATAGGTTACCATCCTGGACTGTCACGCAGAGGTCCCGGGCTGAATTTCCGGGCCGGGAGAAAAAATTGTATGGCCTGCATTTATTTCTCTCGTGAATTCGGTTGTAATTTGTAGTTGTTTATGTGTGTGTGTGTGTGTGTATGTGTCCATGACACCCGCGATACAGAGTTTCCCCAGTGTATGCAAAAAAAACTTTGATGTATAATATAGAAAAATAGGTACAAAGATGTGTCTAGCCCCCAATAAGATAAATAATACAGGGGGTATTATGGGTAGCTAGGTTTTACGTCCGTCAAATGAGTTGCTTCATAATAATAATAACTAAGTCTGTTACAATAGACTTTAAAATATTGATTTTAAGACTTTCGTGGTTATTCACTAAATGATTATCACTAATATCAGGTTTCTTACCACGTGAGTGACAATGGTAACGCCGCAACAAATCGCGATGAAGGTAGTCGTCGACAGCGCAAGAGGGTAAACAGATATGTCTGCTCTTAGGGTGGTATTCCAGAACTCTACTCAATGCTCAAGTCAGGACTTGAGTATTGCAGTGAGCACTGAAAATCATTCTCAAGTCCTTGCCATTAGGGTCGTATTTCCAGTGCTTGAAATCATACTCAAGTCTGCTCAAGTCGTAGTCGTAGAGTAGGTAGAGAGGTCGTAAAGTAGAGTTCTGGTGAGACCCTTCGGGTCGTATTCCATAGAACTGTACTCAATGCTCAAGTCAGGATTTGAGCAGACTTGAGTACGATTTCAAGCACTGAAAATACGACGCTAATGGCAAGGACTTGAGTATGATTTTCCGTGCTTTAAATCATACTCAAGTCCTGACTTGAGTATTGAGTACAGTTCTGGAATACGACCCTAAGTATTTTGAAATAGGTTATTTTACATAATCTTTACCATCATGGCTGTATGCACTTTTGGCTTTTGCAACATTTTAGTTCGAATTATATTATCTATGGAAGAATAGCTGGCAATATGTTTATCTAAAAAAAAAAACACATTTCCAAAATTTGTAATTGTTGTGTTGTGAAGCGATATTTATTCATACAAGAAATAAATAATCATTATATTTATTTGTTGTACGTAGCACGGGCGGTAAAAAGTTCCTAACCTCGAGTCATTGAAACCCTCAGCCCTTATTTACCGCCCTTAATACATAATGTACTATTGAAAGGGTTGTTGTTAGTAGCGATGTTCAGTTGCATAGGTAACTTTATTATCGACTGTTAAAAACAATGATTTGAAATCCGAATTTAACAGCCTTTATAGGTTCGGAATTACAAGTTTGCAGCCTTTGTCTCTGTGTCTGTCTGAATGTGTTTTTTTTAATAACGCACACACGATAGCCTCGCACTAGGGAAACCCTGAGTTGCGATTTAAATCCATAGTCACGCGATAAATGAATATGCTAATTACATGGGGCAATAGCACGTAATGTCAAAATCTCTTCATTTAAAAAAAAATAGAACCCCCGCAAATATAGCCCAAACAGATAGTTCTAAACATTGACTTACAAATAAATGGACGACGGGTCTAATACAAAAACCACGAAAAAAAAGTCCCAAGTCAACCTATTCGAAATTTAAATTGTAATGTCATCGCAGTATCGCGCTGTCATTAGAACAAATGAAGACTAAAGCGGAGTTTGGCGCTCTGTATACGATTTTAGCGCCTTACAAGTGCGGACACTTTTTAGCGCGGATCCGACGTCCATATAATTGTAAGTTAATGGTTCTAAATCATATTTTATAAAACATAAAGTCCTGACTCTCCCTTTTTACTAGAAAGTTGTATGAAATCATCCCAACTAAATATGCATTTCGAAATATACATGGATTGATAATACCATATTCCAGATTAAAATAATAATACGCATTTGTCTAGTCCTTTCCTTACACCATGTTAACAAAAATATATAACAAGCTTCCGGAAACCCAACGATATATCTATGTAGTGTACGACAAACCTACTGAAACTTAAAAGGGAGCGGTAATTATTTTCAACCTGTATTAATTTTTGTCTTCGCTCAACTATTCGTTCGACTATTTAATTAAGTATAACATCATTGATTTGAATGATAATCTTGCGCCAAAATCGATTAAATCGTAAGTCATATCGACTCATCCGAAGTACAAAGTGCGATATGATTATACAGCGAGAAGAGGTTAAAACATTATCTCGTTATTCAAAAGGCCTATATAAAGGTGTTTTCAGATTTTTTATGTATTTGTTGTTTCGTTTCGGAAATATAAAATCGAACAACAGTCGATCTTGACTGTGGATATCCGAAGTCAAGAACAATGAAAGAAATGTACAATGTCCCGAGAATAAGCAGCATCTTGCACATAGGTCTTTGTTCTACGGATGAGTCGATATCGTCATAAGCGGTGAAAACAAAATGTCTAAGAAAGAAGAAAGTAGGTGGGTGATATTCAATAAACCGGTATCATCCCCTAATTACCCCCTTAGAGGTGGAATATTTTCTTCGCATTTGAATCGGATCAGTACTGAGGTACCCCTTTTTAACAAAAAAAAATCATTGAAATTTGTTCACAAATACGTCGGAGTAATCGTGTAACATATAATCGAATTGAAAACTTCCACGTTTTTTAAACTCGGTTAAAAAATAATGCGAACTTCAGTTTTTAACCGACTTCAAAAAAGGAGGAAGTTCTGGTACTGTGTTTTTTTGGATGTACATGTTATGCAATTACTCCGGCGTTTGTGAACCTATTATGATTTTTTTTCGTTGGAAAGAGGGCGCCTCAGTATTGGTCTCATTTAAATTTGAAGACAATTTTTCATCCTCTAAGGGTGGCAAACTAGGAGATGAATCCGGTTTCACGCACTTCCGGTAATCGATTTCAATAAAACATGGCAAATAGGTGTAATTCCACTAACTTGTGAAGTCGGTTTTAATTTTTAATAAAAATGTTACAATTATTGAGATGAATTCTGTTCTAAAGTGAACGACGTGGAACAACAGACGCCGAATGTTCTTTGTTGTTTTTTTAAATTCGTTCCGTTAAGGAAAACCCAACTTTTAAAACCATACAGCCAAGTCTTGGTGAATTTTTCTTTTTGTTTTACGACATTTTAGAGTTTGTCAAACACGACAAGTCCGCGGTGTTAAAAAAGCAACAGATAAAAGCTTCCTTACAAAGAAATTAGATATTACTTGACGGAAGGTCGACGTCAGTATTTCTTTTGTTTTTCTTTTTTTACAGTTTTTACATTTACGCGCGCAAAAAATTTTCTTATTATTACTTTTACCCTGGTCTGTGCTTTTTCCATAGTTACGTACATTTGCGCGCACGAAATTTTGGAATTAAAATTTTTTTCCATAGACTTAACATGATGACCTTTCGCAGAGATCGAAATTCAAAATTTCACGACGTGTAGATTGTATTTTTTTTATGCTGTTTTTCATACATATCGGCTTAGAATAATAACGCATAGAAACCTAGTCCGCACACGCTAAGTGAGGCAAATTGAAGCGCGCCAAAAGGGCCTACACGAGCGGGCGGGCCTTCAGTGCTCAAGGTCAACTTGCACCGCGAACAGATCAAGAATTTTAGCTAAAAATGACGAAATGTGCGGTAAATGAGTATAAAAATACGTCAGACAAACATAAAATAGATACTAACATCACATTTCACAAGGAAGTAACGCGTTTCAACTTGTATTTTTATATTAATATTCACTAAAACCGAAAATTAACCTACTACTAAAACTAGCCTACATGAATTTGATTTTTGCCTCACTTGTGACAGTTCGTTTGATATGAAACTATCGTTCTATGCGTTATTATTCTAAGCATATCGGTTGAGAAACGATCGAGTAATTCCGTATGGAAATTGTATAATGTGAATGGATGTACTCTAGATACAACCTCAGATAAGGTACGGTTGCATTTTCCAGTAAGCATCGGCGTCCTGATTTTGATTCAAATCGGAATTGGTAGTCTCGAAATCAGATGTGTTTCTGAGCGAGAAGATGAACCTGATTCCTGCTATATCTTTCTAATTTGTGAGTTAAATCAACAACAACTATCAGTTCCGATTACAAATGTCAAAAGTTTCCGATCGGCCAGTTGTGAATCGCATTTACGCGTCTCGACTCGGAAAAGACGCAGTTTCCGATCGGGAGAGGCAATCAAAATCAAGCTGCAGAGCTCGTCAACCCATTCTTACGTTTTTAGGAATTTTTTTTGATACCAACGTAACGTGTCGAGTAGGTCGTGCGGCTGGCGGTAAGCGACACGCGTCGTTAGGTCATAGGGACTTCAAGGTGTTGAGGAACGTTGATTTGCAAAAAATACAGTCCACTATCGAGTTCTTAGGTTTTCGCGATTGTTAAACATAGGTAGTGAAATTATTTTTCCGGACTTAAATCGTGTCTATTTGTTTCAGAGAGCACATGGTGTCTGCGACAGTAATCATCTGGCAGGAGAACTTCATCATATAAAGCAAGTCCTAGTCAGCAATCTGCAAGCATGTCATGGATAAACCTACACATTCAATGAAGTTTCACAAACCTTGCAAACGAAGTCCGTTGTTTACCCAGGATGCTGCGAGAGGCCATTGAAATTAAAAAACATCCTAATTTCAACATTAAGATGGTTTCTCCGTACCACCAGTTTGAAATCCAGTATTTCCTTTGATGAAACATCCCAAACAGTCATAAGGCTGCAGCGCTAATTAAAATG